TTATATTCTTCCTCCATTTGCGCCTTTTTCCATTTAAGTTCACGTTTTATTCCCGCTATTTCCACTTTGTGCTTAAAGCTCTGATGGACTTAGAGAGCTTTTTTGCACTTTCTGCTTTTGATAACACTAGACACGCCTAGTGATTTCAAAACTGGTTCAACTCCTTCCTAGTTCATACTAGTACTATCACATGATCCTCAAGTTGATAACTTAATAATCCAGCATGGTCTTTTAAGACAAACAAGGCGTTCTCTGCATGTAGGCGCTATCATCATTGAGTAAATATAATTTTCCTAACTACTTCTCATGCAATTTTAGCGAAGCTTCAGATAAATTTTCCAAGTTTCAAAGCTAACCCGTTATGGATGGCACTTCCCAATCATTTTTAAACGTTTAGTTATATGATTATACTACTTTTTGTTCAAGTATGCACATTCCACTTCAAAATTTTCTACGAATTAGTGTTTTAGCGCACACTAACATTAGGTGTGTTACCGACCCTTAGTCCTCTAATCCAAAACCTCACCATTTCTATTTTCTTTTCCACTAGTAAGGAGTATATGATACTGCATATAAAACCTTCAAGTCATATTTAGTCGAGGTACATGCAAGCTGGTCAAGCCAAATTATCAAAAAATGTATACTCTGAGCCGAGGGTATATCAGAAACAACCTTTGTACTTGTACACTCTACCCTCTCCATATCCCACTTTGTGTAACTACACTTATTTTTTTCGGTTTTGTACCCAGCCAAGGATATATAGGAAACAACCTTTGTACCTCTGAGGTAAGAATAAGGTCTGTGTACACTCTATCCTCCCCAGACCCCACTTTGTGTAACTACACTTTTTTTTGGATTTCCCACCCGATGTTCTGAGCCCACATTAGAATTCCGACTAAATTCGAATCGCGCAGTGCAGGGCTCATTCGGGGGTGGCGCTCCAACAGAATTTTCTCTATACCCGGACCTTTAGTCAAGGGTGACCCACAAGTGTACCACAACTCATGTTGGTTTGTGTGACTACACTTATTATGTTGCTATTGTAGCTTTCCAAAATCTACGGCCAAACACTAGCTAAAGAATACTCTAATGAACTTTAAATAAAGCAAAATAAACAATTCATATAGTCAAAATTCTTCATAATTGTTTCTATACTAAAAAATTTAAAGATTGTACCTTTTAAGAAATTGGATTGAGCTGCAAAAATTAAGGGTGTTGCTCTCACATTCTTGAGTTTTCTAGTAGACAAAGATGTTTGCTTTTTCAACTTTAAAAGGGAATTTGAAGAAAGAAATGACTGATTTATTCTGTAACATTTTGGGGATTTAACTGAAAGAAATGCAACTGTGGAAGCCATATATATATATATATACAAAAATTTATACCATAAATTTTACTAGCAGAAATCAGATATATTGTAATGAATTTTTTTTGTGAGGCTACAAAAATTGATTGTTGAAATTGAATTTTAGAGAATTAACAAGATTGAAAGAGATGGAAAGGAGACATGGGTTTTTCGGGTCGAGTCGGGTCGGAGGAGTCCATTTTGGTTAAAAGCCCATTATGGATGGGTTATAGGCCCAGTTGTATGGAAGGGCCCATTTTTAAAATCTTGGATAAAGAAGGAAAACTTATATACATATACTTTAATAAAAAATATTTACCATTTATAGCAATAACATTTTTTTTTTCACTTAATCACTTTTAATTTGTTTATAATACAAGTTTAATACATATTACAAAGAAAAATTTATTATTAACATATAATACAAGATTTAACTGTTGAATCCATCCCATTTTTTGGTCAACTTTAGCTATTCAATTAGTACAAGCAATTGTTAAAAAGGAATAACAATTGGAGTTGAAAAGAAAAGATTTGGTAGTTGGCAAATTGGTAAGATTTGCAACCATTTTTGACTTTGCTATATTTACCTATGTCATTAGTGACATAAGCATGAGAAAAACCATTTGAGAGCAAAGTGAGGTATTCCATAGACTATACAAGAAGATAGTCTGTGAAAAAAAATAGAGTGTGAGCGATATTTTAGTAAGACGGAAACCAAAAGAGTGTTGTTCCTTTTGAGTGGAGTATTGTATTCGTGACTACACAGTGTAAAATTCCTGACTATAGTAATATCAGTAGCTCCTCTTGGGCCGTGGTTTTTTCCCTTATTCAGAAGGGTTTCCACGTAAAATTCTTGGTGTCGTTATTTTTCCATTTTATTTCCATTACTTTTGCCATATATATTTTTGTGCTTGTCCGCGTTTTCCCAACATTAACGATGGATAGTACATTTATCACAAATTTTAATATACTTAAAACACAATGTGTCAAATTTTTACCAAACAAACATTAAATATTTCAAAAAATAATTATAATTCATATATATTACATACATAATTCACTTTTAATACGTATTGCAGATTTAACATAGTATTGCTATAAATGGTAATAAATATAAAATATTGCTAATATAAGTAATTATTTGTTCAAATGTACTAATTTATGTAATTTTTCCGATAAGGATTCTATTTTTAGGGGCTTTGTGGGGGCCTATTCTTCTTTGGGGAAAAAAATGAGAACTTGTATAAATACAGAAGATTTCAGAAAGAGCAAAAATAATAAACATAATAAGGCTCTATAGCTATAGTTTTGGTAGTTATGCTTCATGGCTATAGTTTATTTTGCTATAGAGGTTTCAGTTTGTATACTTTCTCGCCTGTTTGTACATTCTGTTTACAAAAAAGGTAATATACAAATGAAAGTTGTGATTTCTGTATTTTGATTGTCCGTTTGTATATTTCACTTGTGAATATACAATAAAGGTAAGTATATACTATCTTTGAATTTATACATTTAAGAATTTTTCAGAATTCCCTTTGAATGTTTCGCTTGCCAATATACAATTAGGAGTAATTTATTATGATTTTTCATAAAGCGTATAAAATAGCTAGGATAAACATATATAAAATTATGAATTTATACAAGTTAGAAAATCGCAGTACTGTAGCTATGGATTAAAAATAATTAAAACTATAACTATATTACATAATATACTCTAGATGTATGCCATTTCACGTAATTTTCCGTTATAAATAGCTATGCCCCTAAGAACAAGTTATGACCATATCTTTGAGCTTTCAAATCATAGCAATAATGTTGCATAATTCATAAATATGCTCTTTTAACTTCAATTTTAACGAATATCATGTACTCTAGCTTTGGATGTGCACAAGTAGACACTTGAATTTGTATTAAGTTGAACAAGTAAACACACATTCTACGTGATATAATACAAGAAGAACACCCACGTAGGAAGCGAATTGCCACGTAAAACGCGACGTATGACATGGATTTCTATTGCGTATCTAATATCTTCATGTATCCAATGCATATATGCTTAAACTTGTATGTGATATCAGTGGCGGATCCAGAATTTAAAGGTTGTGGGTGCTCACTTCCTTTAACATAAAATTCACTGGAAAAAATTTTAAAAAAGAAATGCTACTAGTGGGATTCAAATCCTCACCAGTGGTTTCGCGCGCCTCTTATTGCAGAGGTTTAGACCAACTCACCTACAACTGCTTTTGTTCTATGGGTGCTCATTTAAATTATAATAACATATATATATACAAAAATTTTTGAAAATCAATGGGTGCTCGAACACCCGCGTTTGGCTTACTGGGTCCGGCCCTGGTAATATACATGTGTAAATAAGTTCAAATCACCTCCAATATTCCTCAAATTTTAACTTAGGGTTTAAAAGCATAATCAATTTGATATAAGTTAAATAACTTACAAAAATAAAACATTACTACATATTATAATAAAATTCATATATATATATATATATATTTAAAAAAATAAAATTCATCAATGTTCAAAAATGAAAGAAATGAATGCTAACTTACAACCACCAGCAAATTGATATAGTACCAAAATGGGTTTCACATGGCTCCCTCAGTCCTTAGATCCATTTGCTGGCCAAAAAAAATCAAGAATCAAAAAGTATATTTTCCATAATATTAATTTTATATTTACATATAAGAGATCTGAAAAAAATATATTTTTATTTTATTTTATAAGTGATCAAGAAATCTTAATTTCTCGTCCGATACAAACAGGGCGGAGTACTTAACTACTCAAAGAATTTCCTACGTCGAAATATTATATTTTGTGAAACAAAGCAAAGAATTATTATTTTTGCATATATTCATTTAATTTATTATCAGTTGAGCACCTGCGTAAATTAAATGCATATTGTTTTGGCCCATACTTCCCAGCTATGCTTATTAGTAAAATGATGAATTAAAGCTACCAGAGATTTCTTAAAAATAAATAAATTAGTGTTAGTAAATATTTGGAATGTATTTGATACAACGAAAGTCATTTCTAAAACATATTTTTTGAAAAATATTCATAAAATAATTATTTTGGTATTCAATTGAAAAGTGTAAAATATTTTCCAATTTTTTTTTTAAAAGATTTATAATATATAGTTCTAGGAAGGAGAACATGATAGCAGCGATAAAGTTATCTTTATACAATCATTATTTCAACAGAATAGTATTGAATCCTACTTAAACATGAAAATCCTACGTAAGCATGAAATGCTTAGTGCATCAGATTATTTTTTCGTAGATAGTATTTTGATGGAATATTTCAATATCATAGATTGATAATAATGTCTTAAGGGTTGGTTAGAGTAAAGTTATGAGCTTATAAGAGTTTGAGATAGTTGTGAAGGAAAATGACTTACTTATTTTCAAATTAGAAGTACTTTTTTTTTGTTCAAAGAATGATCATTTATAAAAAGACCCATGCATGATATTATTATATATTGCATTGAATCCCATTTAATGTTTGTATCTCTTCTCCACCAAGATACCAATACATTTTTTTTACTTATAAAAGGATACTCTAGAAAACACACTAAGGTACCAAAATAGGAAAAGGCAAAAGATATTTAGGGTAAAAAAAAAAAAGTATATTAAAAAACATGGCTAATTATAAGTTGTCAATGGTTTTTATTTTTCTTGGTTTATTATCAATTGTTTGTACCACAAGAGCTAGAGAAGTGCCAAGTGAAAAAGGACTTGTTGATCAAAAGAATTTTGTGGGGTTTGGTGGTGTTGGAGGATATAGTGGTGTTGGGGGTGGGGTAGGTGGTGTTGGTGGACTTGGTGGGGTAGGAGGTCTTGGTGGGGTAGGGGGTGGTGGTGGACTTGGTGGATTAGGTGGTTTGGGGGGTGGGGGTGGTGGACTTGGTGGATTAGGTGGTTTGGGGGGTGGTGATGGTGGACTTGGTGGATTAGGTGGGTTGGGTGGTGGTGGACTTGGGGGACTAGGTGGGTTGGGTGGTGGTGTTGGGGGACTAGGTGGGTTGGGTGGTGGTGGTGGTGGACTTGGTAGTGGAGGGGGTTTGGGTGGTGGTTGTGGACCTTGTAGTGGTGCAAGTCTTCCAAAGCCATGAGATCATGAGAAGAATATTTTATGAGTTCATTTTTATAAGTGATTTAATGCAAGTTTGGGTATTGATTTTTTTTTTTTTGTAATTTTGGTTTGAGTTTGTGTGAACTTTTTGCAATGTATTAGTAGACATATTTTCCAATTATTCCTAATGGTGAATGTTGTGTTATTTATTGTTACATGGTATTAGTTTAATGATATATTTACCTTTCACACGTTGTTGACACTTTATTCTTAAAGAAAACTTTTACATATAGCCACTTAAAAATAATTAATTATACTCTATAGATATAATTTGATAATTACAATTTGTAGCTACATGTTATATGGAGGAGAGAGGCGAGAGAGAGGGGGAAAAGAGTGGGAGAAAGGTGAATTGTATATGTATATTGGTTAGATAATTGTATATTATATGTATGTATTTGTATATATGGCAAGAGAGATTGACAGAAAGGGGAGAAAGGCGAGCGAGACTGGGAGAGAGAGGAGAGAGACGATAGAGAGAGGAAAGAGAATGGGAGAGAAGTGAATTGTATATGTATATAATTGTATATAACTATATATTATATATATACATTTGTATAAATTGTCAAGCGAGATTGGGAAAGGGAGGACAGAGTCGAGCAAGATTGAGAGAGGGAATAGTGAGGCGAGCGAGAGAGGACAAAGAGTGGGAGAGAGGTGAATTATATAAGTATATAGGTTTAAAAATTGTATATTATACATATTATTTATATATCCTGGCGAATTATACATATACAGACATGACTAATTATACAAACTCGAAGTCAGCCCACATAATTAATGTATAATGTTAGTCGTGAGTGGTAATTATAGCAAACTATAGTTACAATGAGTAATTAAATAGTATAAGTTTGCTTAACTACACAATTTTTCCATATTCTTTTCTTATATTTTAATATTGATCGATTCAACTAAAATGATTTACGTAGTTCAGTATTATTTTTATTCTTCATTTTATCTCAACTAAAATTTTAATCGATTCAATTAAAATGATTTACATATCTTCTAAAAAATTTACTAAAATGAACTAAAAAAATGAGTCATAACTCAACTCGGTCAATTCTTGTTAAATTTGTTTATTTGTTCTATAATTTTTTAAGTACCTAAAATCAACTTTTTTTTTCTCTTTCTCGTGGCTATAAATGATAGTATCACTCAAAAATAATATTTTTACAAACTTCCTTACGAGTCAATTTGGACGATATATCAATTTAAGATCGAGATGAATTGAACGAGTCAATAATAAATGGATCATTCGAATTCGACGGATCACATCTACCACCGTTAGCCAAAACTCGTGACATTACCCTCAAAGATCGGAGAGACATGAGGTATGTCTACCACAAAAATTACTCTCTTCTTATTCCGAATATCCTCATTCCTAATCTTCAACATTCACATAAGACGTACAGTATTCGGAATAACCTCATTCCGAATCTTCAACATTGACATAAGACAGTACTTGAAACTGAAATCTTACCGCCCAAAGAACCAAATATAATCACTTAAACATCTCATGTGCTTTGAGCATAACACATAAACAAGAAAAGAGTCAAACAATTATAGATCAAAGAGAGCACTGCTGTGCTTTGTTTTTCGCAATTCAGTACAAAGGGTATTATAACTCTATTCTATGAATGAGCAACGTTGCATATCGATGATCAGGTATTTAACGTCAATTACAGAAGGACAAACATTGAAGTTATTGGGAAGGAGAATGGCGAAATACGTCTCATTCTTCAGCTATGATAACTGCAACAGAGATTTAAGACAGAAATGGTACTGAGTAATTTTTCCATTCACTTTGTGCCTCCACCATCAGACATCAGAGATGCAGCAGCTGCAGCTGCAGTAGGAACAACCCCTGTTGAGACACCGGGTTTTGACAAATGAAGGAGCCTGAAAACAAAAGAAACCATTTGTATGTTTTACTAGACCATCATATACAATACCAGGTACGACTAGCCAATTCTTATGGATAACAAACCAAGATAAAGATGCTTACGGTGCAAGATATTCACAGAAGGACGTTACAGATGCAACAACTTCATTGTAATTTTCAGATGAAGCTGGTGCAGTCACTTCAACTAGCTGTATGCCTGGAGTCACAGGCACTGCATCATCGATAGCATGAGGTTTCAACATCTTGTTGATGGATGAAACTGTTACAGTTATCTGGGCACCTCTTTGGAAATGAAATGCAAAACCAACTCTCAGCTGCTCATGGTCTAGCTTGTAGCCAAGTGAATAAAATAAGCGTAATGCATTCTTGCTTATTTTGCTTTCTTGCATTGGTCTCACCAACACTGAGATTTGTTCAGCACCAGCACCTCTCATTGGACCACCAACATGCCTAACAGTCCTATGTTTAATCACATAAAAAAAAAACTTAGGCTTCAAGTGTCCCAATAGATAGGGGCTCAGGACAAACCAGATCTCTTACCATGCAGGTTCTGGCTGCTCAAGATCACATAAGAGCCGTATTTCTGATGCTACTAAGCCTGAGAATGGTAAGCAACAGACCACACGGTTAAAATAACCCAAAGACAAAGAGCAGGAAAGGAGAAAAGAAAAAATCGTGAGAAGGCATAAATGATTTTTAGACAAGATATGATATGTGATTGGAGTATAAACAGTTGATCATGCACGCAATATTTGGTCCATTTTATATCTCTCAATTAGGTGAAAATCAGATATCAATTTGAGTCCACACTTTTGCTCATTTTGTTTAGGTGATGTCGCATGACATGCTAGAAAGCAGTTCGAGAGGATTTGGGCTGTAAACAACTCAAAGATTAGGTGCTCAGGCACCTCACGGTGTTGAAATAGCTCCGAAACAACTTGAAGTACACAATTGTGCAACCTGAGAACCAACATTTTGCAAACACAAGGGAGTGAGTGTGCCTTGCACGCCCTGCTGCTAATTGCACACTACCTAGTGAATGAGAACTGTAAGTGCACAATTTCGGAATTCCAAGTGGTTTGAACCCTAACCTCTCAAGTCCTAAATACTCGTCCTAAGCTAGGATACTTGAGTTTTTGCACGACCCGTGACAGCATAGAGGTGGGAAGAGAGATCCAACACTAGAATTAGAGCTCAAAGGAAGAGATTGACGGTTTGAGGAGTTTTTCTTCTCATATTTTACTCTCATTATAATTTTTGTGATTTTAATACTTCATTATTTGGATTGACCGCTATTATAAAGTAACTTTCTGCTAGTTAGATTTAGATGGATATCATAATTTAACTCTTATAAATTAATTCTCTAACTACAATTATTAATTTGATTCAAACCATTTGTTCTGCAATTCAAACTTCTGATCTAGAGAGGTCACTGGACTCCATTATTTTCCCAATTACGTTTGAATGATCATAGTTTGCTTTTTTTCCTTGTCTAACCAAGAGGAGAAATCAGTCTTCAACATACTTTATGAATTGTGATGATGATATGACAAATGCGTAGACAACCACAAGGGGTCAACATATATTTGTGGGAGCCAAGGTTAATTAATCAACCGTCTTCCATATTTAAGGTATAATAATACCTTGACTATTATAATAAAAAGAAATACACTTAGCCAAGAAGGTTATAGTAGTTAGATGTAATCGAGATATACACCAGTGATTTGGAAGGTGATTAGCTGAAGGTGCTCTGAATTTAAGGTTTTCTATTTCCTTAGATATTACTACAAGCGAGAGGAATAATCAATGTTGAGTGTAATAGAGAGAGGCACTTATAACTTAGAGATCAATATTGATTGGTGGACAGTGAACACCATACACTAATCATAAGTGAAGTCTAGATTCAACTCCTTCTGATTAGAACAAAAAAGTCTATATTCAACTCGTTTAATGAACTGATGGATACTCTTTCACCATCATTCATGTCATAGAACTCTTATTTATATTTCATTTTAGTCAAAAACATTCCGCCTGCTTATCTGATTACTCGAATAGTAATTGAGCAACACTAATTAGGATAGCAGAAACTCAATCCTTGTGGGATCAACATCTGCCATACTATCTTTAACAGGAAACAAGCATTGTTTTAATACTCCGACGTTACCCTCATCAACATGTCAAAGAATCACATGTACATCATCGCAGAGAATCACATCTGTATCATCGACAAAACCATGATAGGCAACACTTTGTTGAAAACAAGGCACTCAACAGTCAACAAGTGAATGAGCAAAAACCATGTGGTCTCGACCTATAAATTAGATGTACTGAAAGTGAATCATACTTGAACCTAATTCCATTCAATAATTGACATGCAGCACCACAGTACAACTAGAATAAGATGGACCATAAAAAAATTATCAGCTATGTACAAACTCAAAGGTGAGAAAACCTCCCTACGAATGCATAGATGGTTGTGAGCATTTGCCTCAGCCACATCAGTACATACATGACCATTGGGTTAGTTCCTAGTTCCATAATAGTTCAAAGAGAAAATACACTTACCTAGGTTAGGGACACTTTTAAGGCACAGTTCATGAATCCTTAAGCTTTGTTTATGTACACCACAAAGCCCTTGAAGCAGAATTTCCAGGGCCTCGACATGCTGCAAGTATGATTAGCACTGTCAAGATCTTTTCAATAATCAATTGCCAAAAACTGTTTCAGTAAATGCCGTAGTATACCTTTTACAAGTAGCATACCTTCTAAAAGATTGAATAAGAAAAAAACGAGAAATAGGGGGAGGTTTTATCATTACTCCAGGAACTTACTTGAGTCTCAATAATTCCCTGAACCACACACTCCATTCGCACTTCAATTTATTCAAACCTACATGCAAAGAACTCTTTAGAACATACCTATGAACCAAAAAGATATTAAGTTTAACAGAAGAGTAACAACGAAAAAGCTAACACCTAACCAAAATCATAACAAAGTTGACACTCTTTGTATGAGAAGTGCATTGCTTGAAGATTAATGGATCTTAATATGAATTTAGTTTTGGATTGAGGCTTAAAGTTTTTGCCCGGATTGCCCCTATTTTGGGGTGGTCTTCAATTATTGCCTTTTCCATCCATAATTAGAAATTTAAGCATTTGGTCATTACTTGTCTTTTGGTACACCCAAATTCTCACCAAGATTTTAAGCATGAAACTTCTAATGATCCAATATGCACCAAAAACTGTCAAACTTGCTCCTTTCATTAGGCTATGACCAAACAACCTTAAGTTTTACTAAGTTTCTTCAAAGAAATAGGTAGTAGTGCTGGAATGGTATCAAGTTTTATCAATGAAGTCACTCCACCATGGGTGATTCTTTTCATGTGGAAAATTAGTCACTTGGACACATAGCTTAACTCCTGTTTGGCAAATATTTTCTACATACGTACAACAACATATATACATTCTATCCTCCCCATAGTCCACTTGTGGGATTTCACAAGGTATGTTGTTGTCATTGTTATATGATGGAGCATGTGCTCAGCAAAAACAACGAATGACTACAAAAATGGAGGAAAGAAAGAGAAAATGGAAAAGGAGAAGAATGGGTGAAGAAAAGACAATACCTTGGACTATATGGTATATGTTGCCTTTGGTTTTTTTCGACTATTTTGGCATCAAAATATGATTTTTCTAGTGCCTGTACAATTTGATCTTTGTTTAACATATCTTTATTGTTATACATCTGTTTTTTCAAAGTTTCTACATCAAACTCCAAATTTTATCATCTATACACACTATTGTATGACATATAAAACACAATCATTTAGCATTGTAGAACTAAACATAAAACATCAGAGCAAAAAATTGAAAGAATTACCTTGAACAGTTGAAGCAATCTCACTTTTTCCCCCAATCTGAGCTGCAAAAATTCAATTAAAAAAAATAGTTCGAAAGCTTAAACAGGCAGACCTAAATTAATCACATAACAAAAAATCAACGATAACAACGAGCCAAAGAAAAAAAAATTCTAGCTAGAAATCTAGGTTTCTATATCAAACAAGGTCCAATTGTAACAAAAAATCCAGTTTTCTACATCAAACAAGGTCCAATTGTAACAAAAAAATCTAGGTTTCTACATCAAACAAGGTCCAATTAATCACATAACAAAAAATCAACAGTAAAAACGAGCCAAAGAGAGATTTTTTCTAGCAAGAAAAATATGTTTCTACGATCAATTGTAAAATTAAGGTTTAGTAATGCAAGCTATGGCTGAGAGAAACCAAAACAATTAGCAGTAACAGAGATAATATGGTGATTTAGTGCTCAATGAAGTGGTCGAAAATATCAAAAAAGTCGAAACTCAAGACATAGGGTTGGAATAATACCTATTGCGAAAAGTGACAAGTATCTCGTAGAATCAATTGAAAATATTAGCGGATTCTTTTCATACGAGTGGATAAATGTCTGTTACGAAAATTTGATTAGTATCTTATATAATTAATTAAAAAATATTAATGGATTCTTTCTATAGGAATGGATAAAATAATTTGATACCTTATACGAAAAATTGATTATTACGAAATTCTTTGATAAAATGATTTTGATACCTTTTACGAAAATTGATAACACGAAATTCTTTCTATATGAATGGATAAAATAATTTGATACTTTTTACGAAAATTAATTATTGCAAAATTCTTTCTATATAAATGAATAAAATGATTTGATTCCTTTTACGAAAAATGATTATTATAGAAAGTGACGAGTATCTCGTAGAATTATTAGAGAAAAGTGGTACTTAGCAGAAGAGAAAATGGTTTGAAAATTTTGGACCCGAATTCGAGTTTAGGCCCATAATTAATTAAGCGACTCAAAGTATAATTTGATAAAATTGTAAGAACCCGATTGAATCTAAACTCAAAATTCAGGGACCAATATTGCAATTTTACATTCCACCTCTTCCAGAAAAAACCCTAAAACCTCGATAACGAAGAAGAAGAAGAAATAATGGGATCGAAAAAATGTCAAGTATGTGATGAAGCACAGTCGAGATACAAGTGTCCCAATTGCTTCATCCCCTTGTAATTATATTTCCATCTTTTTTCATTCTTTGAAATTTATTTGAATTTTAATTCTGGGTTTTGAGTTTGTTTTTAGTTTAAACTGAAGGGGAATGGATATAGATTATTCATACAAAATTCAGAGTAAAAATTTTTATATGTAGAAAAACATCATAATTGTAGCAAATAGAGATATGAATTTGTTGATAAGAAACTTAGGTTTCGTTTGGTAACTAGTTAGAATTATGCAGTTATTTTTTATGTCCGGCATAAAATAATATATAAATTTCTTCGTAGCTTATATATGTATTAGTCATGTAGCTTTCTAAATTGCGGACTTTTATACATTGAAATCATTGCAAAGAACCTTAGGTGTCGTTTGGGAGCCGGTTAGAATTATGCAACTGTCAGTTATCTATCTTATGTCAGGCATAGAATAAATACACAAATTTTTCTCATAACTTATATTTGTATTAGTTATATGCGGATTTCTAAAGTGCATATTTTTATACATAAATTTGTCGCAAAGAACCTTAGGTGTGTTAGGTAGCTGGTTAGAATTATTAGCTGTTTGTTATCTATCTTATGCCTGGCATAAAATAATGCATAAATTTCTCATAACTAAGGTGAATTTCTAAATTGCAGACTTTTATACATGAATTCGTTGCAAAGAACTTTGAAGTGTCGTTTGGTAGCTGGTTAGGATTATGGAGTTGTTAGTTATCTATCTTATGCCTGCGGATTTCTAAATTGCAGACTTTCTTTACATGAATAATTTACTTCTTTAACTAAATACGAAGCGCTGTATAATTAAGTTGCCTCTGTACTAGCTATCAAACGATAGCTAAAGGTTGAACTCATAAAACTTAAGTATTGGATTCCCTGTGAATTCAGTGAACTCAATTTGTTTAGTATTGAGGGTGTAACAGTATTAGTATTTATTGGGTTGTAATTTATGGGTTATGTTACTGGAGATTTGAGTATTGATAAACCTAAAAGTTCTTTTTTTGGTTGTTTTGATCTTGCAGTTGTTCTTTGGTCTGTTTCAAGAAGCATAAAGGTATGTTCTTTATGAACATATTATGTGAATCTAACTATTCTTATGGGTTATACTTGTGGTTTGTGTATTTTATAGTGATAAAAATTGGTCTTTTCATGAGCTTATCTGTGGGTTATGCAGAAATTCCATGCGGGAAACCAGAACCGGAACCCGAATCAGAACCACTTTCTGAGGAAAAACTTGGTAAGGATGGCTTCTCTAATAAAACGGTTGAACTTTTTTTCTTGTTGTATTTTTGTATAACCATTATAAGAATGTGAATGATATGCTTATATTTTTTCTCACTAACTGTAGTTTAAGTTTATTGTCTTCGTTAGTATCTTTTGTTGTCACTTAGCTATCCTTTTTGTCGGTGATGGTACGTTATGTTCAATAACCATTTGCATTTATGGTGATAACTTTGATACCTGACAAGACGTCTCTTTGATGAATGAGTTTCCGGAGAAATCCAAAAGAAAAAAAAGAAGGCAGTCCAGTGCATGAAGCACCCCGTGTTCATGTAGGGTTCAAGGAAGGGCTGCACCCAAGGGGTTAAGTGTAGGCGGCCTAACTTGATGCGGGCATCATTGTTAATTTCATGACTCAAACCCATGACATATAGGTTACATAGAAACAACTTTACCACTGTTCCAAGGTTCCTGTTGTTTCCTAGGGCAATCAGACCTGCTATATGCGTGTAGTTGTAAATGTTGTGTTATTAGACTAGTGCCGCTTCCAACTTCTTCGATGTAGCATCCTCTATTGGGTTAGTTTGCTATCATAGTCCCGCATTTTATTTTTTTTTGAGGATAGTAACACAAATCATAGTCCCGCATTATACATCTTGCTATTGAACTATTTATCATCAGTATCTTGTACATCTTCCTTAGATAAATTAAGAGATCTATAAAAGGATGCAAGAAAGTGAAGATCCACTTTTTGGGTATTTCTTAAAAGCTGTTGGTTTAAATAATGGCTGCAAAAGGAGGAGGTTGCTGGGGTAGATGGGAGGAAACAATTGTGGAGGTTTCAGTGGAGGGTGCTATTTGGTTCGTGGAGGGTGCATAGGGTTTGTAATTGCTGGTTTTGGACGTAATGTAAATGTGGTCGAGTTCCATGAGCTAAAGAGATTCAGGCACTGTTTTGTTATTTTCTCCATTCAGCACTAGATATTTGTATTTGCACGAAATGCAAGCTATTGTCACTTGCCCTCTTGCCAATTGTTTCCCATTAAAAACTGACTTGTGTAAACAATTTACACTTCTGTTCCAACTTGTCTGCGTGAAAAGTGAGAATTCATCTGGTAGAATTTTGGCACTATTTATTGTTTTCATTTAATATGCATAATATGCTAATATTGAGAAAGTAACATGCATCACTCTATCTCTGTCAGCTCCTGCTCCAGCATTGCATGTGGAGAAGCCAATCTATGTTGATGAGCCAGGCGAAGCGGTCAATCAGTCGCAACTAGAGTCTATAGGTATGTCGCAAAATTGTGTTGTGAGAACATGAATGATTCAGGCTTCATTTTGCTTCCAATGTGATTATGATATGATTTTATGCAAAAGTCATGTTTGCTTCATTGCATTAGATGATTTTGAAATTATATGATTTCCTGATATAAAGCAAGTCTACGTCTTAAAGATTTAGACCAGAGACGAAATCAGGATGTATGGAATGCAGGGATGAGGCAACATCTATGTTTGACACATTGTTTTCACTTTTCACTTAAGAACCTCACCTTGATAAGAGACACTGATTTGGCTTTCTCGTATCTGTACTGGTGGGAGATAGCAATACCTCGTAATATTAGTCAAGTGCAAGCTAGCTCGGACACTGTGTTATAAAAAATTCTTTAATCAGATTTACAGCCCATTGATTGGCACGTTTATGCCCATCCTCCCAAGAGAAGTAGCGTTTTGTTATACTAGAAATTGCACTTTTGTAACATCGAAGGAACTTAATTGTGTGCCAAATTAATATTCTGTTTCTTGAATCGTTCTTTCCCCCATGACATTTTATAGCTTCGCTGCAGCTTCTTCTTCGGAAATTCTTGAGGCTATACGGAACAAAGATCTTCAAAAACTTATATACAACTTGGATTCTTCTTTGGATGCAGAGAATGTAAGTACCATGCGCCTACTTAATATCGGATTATGTGCAACACAATAAATTCACTGTAGGAAATCAAGTCAAAGTACAATATGTCTAGTTTTGTCGAAATACTAACAGAGAATAACTGAAACTAATACTTTGTTCTGATAGAACCTTCTCTTCTACAGGAGATTGAACGTAGATACACAAACCAAAACCATTGTTCTTTCTTATTCATTGTTCTTTTTATCTCCAAGTGATATCCATACCAAATGCAGATAGTGAAAGAGATAGATTTCATCGTTAGGAATCATTAAATCCTACGCATGATTATAATAGGTGTATTATGGAAATCTTTTGAAAGAAACAAGTTGTAATTTTTTCGTGGTGGAACAAAATATTTTTAGTCTCTTGCTCACGCTGATACCTTTTTCGTATGTTAATGGCTGCTTCAATATTTCTATTATCGTCTTTCAGGAACTTGATAAGGCAATGGAAAAGGAAGAATTTCGCATAATCAGTGAAAAAGTATGTAATATCCTTTTTTTTTAGAAAAAACCATAATAGATCTTATAATTCAACCTTCTCTTTGTTACTTCCTGACTAACATCAATATGACTGCAGATTTTGTCCATCATTAGTTAATGGAGAAGTTCAACAGGATACGATGAGTAGTGCTGTAACGAAGGAAGATCTTTCCCTTGTTCAGAAGCGATAAATAAGTTGTTGGGGGTATCTACCAAGAAGATTTTGCTTGAATCTTACGTTTTACTTGATAATTTTAGCGATACAACTGCAGGCAGTTCTAATTCAGATATCCTTCGAGCTGTGTAAGGCGTGCTCTTCTGCCCTCTGCTTCTGCTTCCATTTATTTGTATTTGTAATCTAAACGAAGTGTATCGATATAGCTGTTCTTTTTCCTTTCAAAAAACAGTTGAAAGTCTAGATGAAATATTGTCCTGTATTCCAAGGGTGGTGGAGAATGGAAGCTAAGACTAGTACCACCTCTTATTGGTATGGTAGTTATCATGGATTCTATAGCCAGCTCCAATAGTATGGCAGGCTGTTTGTGCAAGGCCATGTTTTATGTTTGAGTAACGGTTACTAGTGATTCTGACTTCCTACAGATGAATTGCAGCTTGCAATCCGAACTGAATCATGTTTTGGGGTTAGCTCACCCTTGAAGGATAGTGACCCTTTCTTTATAATTAAGTGTTCTTCCCAACTGTACAAGCTTTTAGATGAGATGGTGACACGTTTCAACAGAATACCAGTTCTCTTAGGAGAGGATTATGAAGAGATATCAATACTAGTTCTATCATAATAGTTACAAATTAGTTATGTTATATACTGTAGTAGACTAGTAGTCAGCCAGTGTAGACTCCACTCTTGTTTCTTGTTTCTCTTACACTACCAAAATTTGATCGCGAGAAAGCTCTCGTAGTTGACCCACCTTGTAATCAACCTGCAAACACGAAGAAGCTGAGTAAAATCCCAACTTCATGTCGATATCTGGAAATTGGTACTAACAATCACAAATTCTTAGTCTAACTTGTGCAAGAGAGCTGAGAAAAAGAAGCTAACTCAAAGCATCGTACCCACGTTCTTGAAATCCTAGATCCGCTTCTGCCTCCAACAGTATTGAGAAAGAACCACAATAATGTGATGTGTAAAATGTGACCATCTAAATAGTATGCTCACCAGATTGATGATTCCCTCTACTTCCTTCTATGCAGCTGTTAAGTTTACTGCTGCTCAGCTGTTCCACTTCCTGATTCTGCATTTCAATATTATCTATTGTCAAAAGATTTCTCGGAAGAGCGCGCAATAAATTAAGGCATTTCTAGGTGAAAAATTCAGTAAGAACATAGGTATCATGACAATATAATAAATATGCGTAAATTTAAATTAGTCGGATTTCATCAGTACTGAATTCCAAATCATTTAGACTACAAGTATCAATCAGAGAAGATATTACACCTCTCCCTTCGAACAAAGGAGATCAGTGGGATATGACACCTCTCGCGGCATTTAGTGCTAGTTCCATTCTCCTCAATGGATAAGACACGAAAAAAGTCTAGAAGGAATGAACCTTTTTAACCTAAGCAATTATCTACATAAAAGCAAGCAGAGGAAGTGAAGAAGAGTTTAGTTTCCTTTGGACATTATATACCTAAAGTCAAAACAAAACATTATGCAAAAATGTAAGGATATAGAAGGAGGACTTGCCTGGGGTAACATCAGTTGTGCTTGCTGTAGACCAAAATATTGATAGTATGGGTCACTAAAATTGGGAAGTCTTGGCTGACTAATATTATGTCCAACATGTGAGTTTGGCTGGTTCGCAACTGGGATTCTGGATGGATCAGGTGCAGGAAATGGTGGCAAGTGATATGCCGGAAGAGGATATTGAGGAGCCATTTGTGCTGCTGCAGCTGCATTCTGCATTGCTGGACCTGGCATTAGCGGTGGATATGAAATTAATGGCCGGTTCCTGCCCATTTTCATATCCATCCCCATGCTCATATTCATTCCCATAGTTGGCATGTATTGCGGGATTCCAGGATACATCATAGGAACCATGCTGCATCCCGTGGCCATCATCTGCAGTAAAGGAGCTATGATCAAACTGTAGCCTAAACGGATGTTTTTCAAGGAGCTCAACTGAAGATGCAGCAAATGTCAACTTATAATTAGGATTTCGGTTGTGACATTATTACTAGTTTACTACTTCATAATGCAGTATCAAGACTAAGTGACAAATCTGAAATGAAGTATACTCCATGTATTTCATTTTGTATTGCGCTGTTCTTCGACTGACCATGTTGTTTAAGAATGAAAGATCTTTGACACAGAAAATATCTGTAACACTTGTTGTCTTACACATACCATGACATTTCTATATCTGTAAGCACATTTCATTGATTAACGATAAACTAAAAAGTTCTAAGTTAAAATTTCCACATATAGAGAAGTGTCATATTTTTCAAACAGACTATAATGGAATGAGTATCACAACAGAGGCAGTACTTGATCGAATTTCTTCAGTGTTGGACATATCATAACCATCTTGGACCAACAACTAGCTGAAAGAGAGTTAACGAGGTGAAGCTTAAACTCCAGTAGAGGTTGAAGGCAGAAAAAGTCGCAAGAGATTGTACATTCATCTATCATTATTTCCGTTAAGAGCAAGAGAGACAAACTTAATTGCTCATTCCAATATTGGTCCTTAACTATTAATTCAGGTCTAGCTATTATCTTACTTAGTAATCCTTCTTGATGCCCTGTTAGTGAAATGTGATTGGAGTAGTAGTTCCGCAACTGACTAACTTCTTTTGACCTCCAATGTACATGCTAGAATTTGAAGACACTCTGGTTCTGACAAAATGAAAACCTTTTAAGCACCAAACAAGATTGACGGGAGTTCTCTCCTCAGCAATAAACTATTTTACTTCTACAGGAGGTGAACCATCAAAATGAGAAGAAGAAATGAACAGAAACACGGCAATAAGTAAAGAGCTCGTCTCAATTAAAACATGCACTGACTAACAATATTGTTCAAACGAGAATAGTATACCTGTACTTGCAATTGCAATGATTTAAGGTACTCAATTGCTTCATCCAGCATTGAAGCTTTGTCTGACTGAAATTAGTTGATAAAAGAGATATGAAATCAACAACAAACTTTCTATGATGAACAAAACAATTCAAGGATGATGTTAAAACCTTATTGCAGCAAGGTATGAGTTCTTGTAGAGCCTTCATCTTCTCATTTATTCTGTCTCGGCGTTTCTACAATATTGCAAACACTCAAATACATTGAAATCACAATATTTAAACCATTAAAACCTTCAAACTGAGATTAGTATATACCCTTTCAGAAAGATTATGGACCTCTGCTGCGCGAGATTTCTTTGCCGATGTAGAACTTCTTACTTGCTTCCTTGCATCAGCAAACTCATATTCAACATCCTAGGATATTAGAGAGGCAAAACTTAACAACATAGTAAAGAAATATCTGAAATAGTGAGTACAACAACAATAACTAGTATTACTTCTAGTATGCTTCGATCCCAAGCAAATTAAGGTCAGCTATATGAACCCTCGATCTATGTCATGCCATTGAAGGTCGTCTCAATCCAATATAATAAATGAATTACCTTTACTAACACTATAAATTCTCTACATTTTCTAACAAGACTAAAAGATTCCTAGCAAACATTAGACCTAATTAAGTAAACTTACTAGTTACTAACACAACTAGAACTTATCTATCCTAAAAAAATGTATCAAACTTTTTGACATATAAACAAAAGAACAATTTTACTGATAATACTAGTAAAATAACACGTTTTACGTAATTCAGAATTAATATATTACTATTTAACTTGTCTTCAGATAATATCCCACCAACTTTGAGTGTGTACAAGTAAACATGTAAGCAAACACATTTGTCTTACATAGTGTCCTCCATCTTAATTTTTTTATCCTATTTATAAAAATTTCATCTAAAATTGGAGAATATAATACTATCCTTTAATACAATTAATTTATCTTGTTTGATTTTTTTCAGATATATTTACGTTCATAAAACCAAATTATACTTTCATATATTTGATATATTTTTTATTTGAAATTATAAAAATAAAAAATCCTATTTAGATTAAAAAAATTAATTAAAACAAAATAATATTAATTAATCCTTGTTTACGTAGTAGTAAACGGAAGCTAACTGCTTACTCACCTCACTCTGACCTTCATTGTCGTCCGATTCTCTACTTTTCCGTTTCCGATCATACGCCGCCGTATCCGCCTCCGTATGCGACGGCTGTGGCGGTCCTGCTCTGGCGCTTACACTACCTCCTGAACCACGTGTAGATGCTGTCAATGCCAACTCGCATGCCATCGTCACTTCCCTACCGCCGCTTGTTGTCGCCATCGACGTCGCCGTCAGTTCTCTTCCTCTGACATTCATGGCGGTAACTGGTGTTACATTTTCTGATACGCGTGCTGCTACCGGAGTCTCGTTTGAATCCACAATCGTCGATGCCCTAACTGAGTGACCAGAACTCGATGTAGTACCATTTCGTAAAACCGCTTCACCAGACAACCGTGAAAAATGCCCAAAATTCTGTAATCGATGTGGTAATTCACCCTCTGTACATCTAATCGGCCGCGAACACGGCGGAACCAGAGGCGGACGGATCTCCACCTTCGAAGTACCAATTTCTCCCGGCGGTGCTGCAGCGGCGGAGGTCACGGCGTCACAACTCGGTGTAGTATTTAGAAAATCATCGAAGGAGGAATCATCAAGTGGAGATTGAAGCCATGAGTTCATTTCATCCTCTTGCATATACAGTGGAGCTGAAACTGCTACCGTTTGTTCTACAGCTGATTGCTCGGGAAAAAGGTTAGATTTCCTTACAGATCTTTGATTTTGGCTTTGCATAATTACTCCACCATTTTGCCATACTAGCTCCATGATTTCTTCATCTGCTCTGCAATAATCCAAAAAAAAAAACTAAGCACAATAAACCGAAAACTACTTCCGTTCGAATTTCGAATCTCGAACATCCTGCTCTTAGTATTTCACGATCCGTATCGAAAAATCAAACAACAAAAGAAATTACACTATAAGCTTAGTATCCAGTTGCTCGATGATATTACGCGATCAGTATTGAAAACGAACTAAGAAAAATCAGTCAATAGATACAAATTAAACAAAAAAAACTGAACTTACACGGTGGGCTATAATTAGTATCAAAAAAATCAACATCAACAACAAAAATTACACTATGAGCTTAACATCCTGTTCATGATATTTCACTATCAGTATAGAAAATTTACAAAGAAAAATCAACTTACAGATACAAATTAAACAACAAAAATTGAACTTACACTATGGGCTTACTAATTCTGTTGCTCATGGTTGTTTCACGATCAGTATTGAAAATGAACGAAGAAAAATCAACTAAGTTTATACAAATTAAATAACAAAACATAGATGAAAAACTTACATTGTGGATTTCTTGTTGAAAATAGCAGAAGGAATATCATAATAATCATCATCCATTTTGAAATCAGGAACAACACAGTAATTCATCTTTGTGAGTTTAATTGAATTATATCATCAGAAACTCACTTGAGATTTATTCATGAACTCATTTTGAGTTTTGCTCTCCATGAGAACTGTTTTAGTAGTTTTTGACTTGTTATAAATATCTCTGTGTTTTAGTTTTCACTTGCTACCGACTTAGCTAGCCTCAAATATTTTTAATTTATTTATATTAATATAAAAACGCCAAATACATAAGCAGATTTCTAAATTTGTTGGGTTTTTTTCCTCAGGTACCTCAACTACGTCATTTTTCTATTGAATCGTTGAACCCTCATAATTTGGTGTTTAAACAAACACCGTTGTTTGATGTGGAATCGAATTTTTGAGGGGTATCGATAAAGGATACATACGTTGTTTCAAAATTCATTAGTTCAATTGATAGTGAAAATGTTCGAGAATAATTGTGTTTTACTTAAGTCATTTGAACACATTGGAAAACAAATGAGACTAACACGGTTTTTCTTCATTCCTTCAATCAAAATTATTACAATTCGAACACAATTGAAGGCATTTACAATAGAAAAGCCGATCAAAATCAACCAACAGTGTTTTAAAGTAATAAATTACGGATAATTCAATGATTCAATAGAAAAATGACATAGTTGAGGTACCTGAGGGAAAAAAGCCAACAAATTTAGGGATCTGTTTATGTATTTGGCCTTATAAAAATATTACTTTCTTCGTTTCAAACAGTATAACCTATTTTAATTTGGTATAAAATTTAAGAAAAAAAAAGAAAATTTTTTAATATTGTGGTTCTAAATTAAAATTATGTCAAATATATCATAATGTTCTCTAATATTGTGGTCTTAAACATGTCACGCGAAAAGTTAAAGTTAAATATTATCAAAAAAGAAAAGAAATTATTATTTTTTAAATATTAGAAAAATATAATCATTTCTTTTAAACAAAGAAAATAATAGTAAATAATTGAGAGTTGTGAGATTTTAGTCTTTAAATTTTAGTACAAATAAAAATATTAGGTAATTTTTTCTATCTATTCTAGTGTCTTGTGTGCGCAAAAAGATATCCTAGCTTGGTCATTTTGAATATTTACACTCATACTATAGTTCCCCTTTATATATTATATATTTTTTTTATTTTAATTTTTGTGATATTTTTTATTACTTTTTAAGTTAAGTATATTGGTTTTTTGAAATCAAATTAGGTTAGATTAAAAGATTTTATTAATTTAAATTTATAATTACAATTTTTTGGTTATAATTTGTTTTGTTTCTTGTTACTATTTTTTTCTAAATAATTTTTTATGAATTTTAAAGTTATTAATATCGTTTTTCTCGAATTTAAGATGATACGGAACATTTCGTGGTATATTTGATTGTTGAAATTATTAGGCAACGTATGCTCTGAAACAAAAATATTTGTCTTAATTTTTTTTAAGAGTATTGAGAATTATGAAGTATTCGAGATGTGTTGTCCTGATCTCGTTACAAAACTCAATATTTTATTATATATTTGAAATGCAATTTTAATTTTTTTATAAATATTTAAGATTTTATGAAATGTTATAAATTCATTGAATGAGTGGATAGTCCATAAGGTTGGTACATGAACAGCCATTCATATTCACTAGGTTACATGAACCTTTTTGGATAAGAATGTATCTATTTATTATGATACTTAATATGGTGACCTTGGAGTGATTTCTCACTCTATAAATAGGGTTGTTCATTCACTATTGTATGAGATACATATGAGACTTGAATACACTTGAATAATAAGAAAATTCCTCATTTCTATCTACATCTCTTCTCTTCTTCTCTTTATAATTATATCTCTTATGAGCTTGATTTTATAACACGTTATCAGCACGAGTCTCTAGCCAATTGAGATTGAGTTTTAGTTTTTCTTTAACTCATGTTTTGGTTGATCTCGTTATGAGAATCAAAATATTATATGCATAAAATCAGGTATGTATTTTCTAAAATATTTTTATGATTTAGAATACAATAGTATTCAATCACTAACAATTATCAGGAACCAAAGACATATACAATTATTGGTTGAATATGACATGCTATACAAAATTTCTTAAATAGAAGAAGGTATAAAATTTTAATAGCATGAGTTTGAATATTATTGTTTTGAAAGACTCAAAGAATAAATCATGTTGTACTTCGATTTATTATACCGTTGGTTAAGGATAAGACGATGGATTCAAGTTTCATCGCACCAAAAGGGTAAGACATTTGATTAAAGTCCGGATGCACTATAATGAAAAATATTTGAGGATAAGACGATAGATTCAAGTTCTATTGCACCAAAAGGATAAGACATCAATTTGAGTTTTGATGCACCGTGATTGGGTTCAAGTCCCATAGAATTATGGCGTAAAACGCCTTGTATGGATAAGATATTGAGTTTGAGTCAATGCACCATAGTGATGAAACAATGATGACTAAGGTTTTGATGAAAAGCCTTGAAATTTGTCATATTGAACTTGCTCCATTCCTTGAAAAGAATGTGGTAGCAACATATGATAACTTTGAAATCCGATGCTGACTTGCTCCATTCTATCGTATGAATGTGGTAGCAGTAAATAATTAGTCTGAAAGATGACAAATGATTAGCGATATGAAAAAGGGCATGAAGGGACGGAATTATAATAGTCATCATTGTGGTAATTATAAAAGGAAAAACACTATGGGTTCTCCAAATAGTCCTTCAAAATGTGAAGGCAGTTTTCATTATCAAAATGGTATGAAAGGACATTGAACTTGTGAATGTTGTCGACCCAATAATTTGACAAGTTTATAAATCCTCTATCATGATACAAGAAGATAAAGTGATGGTACACTTAATCTTTCAAAGTGATGTTGAGGTGTGTCATGGAAATATGATGAATTTTAAAGTCATGACAATGTGCTTATAATGCAAATTTATGAAATACAAATAAATAATTAGTCCATTCCTTGAAGATAATGTGACTTGTGATGAGTATGGTGAATGCTCGACCATTCTATATGAGAATGGGTCCAGATATGATAAAATCATTATGGGTTGGATATATGTTACAACTCACCTCTATGGAAGGTTTGAGAAAAAATGATACATGTCACTTCTCATCTCTACGGGAGATTTGAGAGGAAATAAATTTTATTTGGCAGAAATGGCTAATTGTATTGTACGTTTTATACGTCACTATGATATAAACTACCGAAAGGGCAAAAGAAAGAAATAGTTCTTGCCTATAAGGGTTGTGGTCAGTATTGTGTGGCAATACAAATTTGTCATTGGTTGTGCACCTATGGTACAACAAAAGTAAAGCAAGAAAGACGTCTTGCTCGTAATGATTTTGACCATGACAATAATAATATATTTCCTCCTTGAAGGAGATGCTCACAATAGGGATGGTGTCATGCAATATGTGATAGTACACAAAATTAATTGCAAGCTCGAACGAGTTGTGCTATTATTAGAGGAATAATATTGGGGTTGTAGTAAGTCTCAAAAGTAACTTTTTAAGTTTCGGATGAATGAAAATAAATATTGAGACTATAAATCACTACAACCGAAGAGGGTTATAATGTTTATGTAAAAGATTACCCCACTTTTCCTCTTGTTTGTTCCATACAAACATGTACATGCTGATGAAATCACGTGTAAAAGTAAATTATAAGTGTACTAAAATAAAGATCAGTTGGCATGACTGGTTGACCATTCCGATTAAATGTAATGCAAACGTGATTGAGAATTCAGGTGATTTATATGATGAAGAAATAAAGATTCTTCAAGAATTCTCTTGTGTTGCTTTTTCTCTTGATAAAATGATCATTGTACCAGCTAAGGTCGGGACTGTAATCCCCTAAAAATTTTTTGGAACATATAAAAGGGTGAATATGGGCCTGTTCACCTGTCATGTGGATCATTTGCAACTATATGATTAATGCATCTATGCGATGGTCACATGTATTTTGTTGTCAACTTACAAATTGGTTTTTGTAAGGTTGTTTGCTCGAATTGTTAAAATTAAGAGCATAGTTCCAAATTATGAAATTATATTGATAATGCTGGTTGATTTAGCAGAAATTGTATGCCTCCAATTATAGCTAAATCATGGTTATGAGAACAAAACTCCCAAATAAGATTTGTTATGAGATAATTTTGTTTAACATGTAGCAACACATGTATGCATCAAACCAACAAGGTTTCCCCATTAAAATTGGTTCAGGGTCAGGAACGATACAATATTCATCTAAAATGTTGTATGTGCGATTATGATTTTAATTGCTCCACCACGCACAAAGATGAACTTCCAAATAAGGTTGGAATGAATGTTAGATTTTCTAACATTAGGGGGAGAGATGATTGACAACTGAAAATTATGTGTGAGGTTAATTATGAATTATCTAGATCCTCGTTAAAATAAATATGTGAACTTAAAGTTCAAGGGATAATTCAGTTGCATAATGTTGCAAATCAGTTGCCAGATGAATGCACTGACCCTATGATATAATTCAGCTGCAAATGCTCCAATGTAAAGTCCTTGAAGGACAGAGTCTATGATACGCCGGAAGCGTAATAGACCAATCGATTCCAAATATAAAATTCCTTGAAGAAGGAAGGAGCAAATGATCAATATGGTCATGATAATGAGGCAAGCTCTATAAAGGAGCACATTGACATAACACTTCATACAATCTTGAAAAAGGTTCAGTTACCTGAAATAATGAAAAATGAAGAGATCTCGATAAGTTATGTCTTGTAGGAATCGACATCAAATAACCGTCGACGGTATCTTTGATATGAGGTAGCGCTCAATGATATAAATTGTGACAAGGATCTTGAATTCAAATCTGTCATATAATGTGGACAGATAAATGGTTGGCCAAGTAAAATACATAATTCAAGTATATTTTGTTTCACTTAGAAAAGTGACGTTTTAGACTGGTAGTTCATAAATCAAGGTATAACGTCAGTTGGGTACAAATAAATTATTATGCGATAGTATAACCGTAAGATATCAAATACGATTTGTGCCTTGGGGCATAAAGGTTTATCGCAAAAATCCTGACATTATTGGAGATGTTTTCTCCTTTGGTGGATGCAATGAGGTTTGTTTTGATCTGGCAACATATGAAAAACTTGAATGCATGTAATGAATAATTGTAATGTCTAGCTAGACAATGAAGGTTATATGAAAATCATTGA